CAGGAAACAAAATAAAAAATGACCTGCTGAGTTAAAACTTTCGCCAAAATGCAATTAATTCCATTTTATATTTATAATGTAATACATATATATAAAATATATTATATACTATTTATAAAATAATTGTATATATTCTTTTAACAGAAACTTAAATATCGACATTTTTTTTTCTTTTTTTATGGTTCGGATTTGTTAAATAGACGCGATTTAGCGGTTTAAAATAACATCTTTAAACACGTATTTTCAGATTTGCGTTCTATACTAAAAAAGAACGCATTTTAGAGATTGTAAGTAAAGTCTAAAATACGTTTAAAACACGTTTTTTTACTTTTTTTATTAGGAATAATACACGTATTTATTAGACGCATTATTACCGTCTTTTTAATATGTGTTTTTAGATTTGCGTTCTATACTATAAAAACAGGTATTACATGCGACTTCAATATGCGTATTTAAAACGTTTAAAAACGCATTTTTGTCTGCTGGGATGGATGTATAAAAGCACATAAAAGTAATAAAGGTTACCTATGCGAACTGTAGTTTTAACTATTAACACACTAGCTCATAAACTTTCACAATATCTTGTTGAAATAATACAACCTACACTTCAAAAAAAAAGAATGCCGAGTAAAAATTTTAATTTTTATCTGAGGCTAAAAAATGGGTATATGAAGAAAATGAATTTCAGGTTTCGTTGGATGTTATTAACTAGTATCCATTTGTTCCACTAGATAAAGCAATAATTCCTATAATTGATATTTTAAACAAAGATAAAGATGATCTCATGCTGTGAACGAAATTGTCTTTAGTAGATATTCACAAGCTTATTGAACTTTGTGTAAATAAATGTTACTTTCAATGGATTGACAAAATATACATCTTAAACAATTCTGGGCGATTGGTTTGTCCATTATGGTTGTTATGTCAAAAGCCATCTACAATTTATTAAATTTAATGCTCAAAAATAGGCTATAAACTTTAATATTGCACCAATAACTTTTAAAGGTTATGTTGATGATAGTCATGCTTGATTTTCTAATATTGACGACAAATATTTTTATTTAAATATTTTAAACTCACAAGATACGGTCAATCATTACACTATTGAATACCAAAATTATCAAAATCAACTAATTTTTCTAGATGTTTGCATTTCTACGAATCAGTTTCTTCATAAAAATGAAATTTCAATTCATCATTATCATTCAATATCACCAAATATAGCAATGAGTATATTTAAACGTTTTCTTTCAAAAGCATATAAGTTCAATAATACGTTCAGAGCAGAATATTTAAAAAGAATTTTAGTTTCTTGTTAATGTGCTTTCCCAAAGTGGTCACTCATTCAAACAATCTTCAGACATTGCTAAAACGATAAACCAAGGTAAAAAATACAATAAAAGTATAAAAAAATTAAAAAAATTTTAGATATAGTCAAACGCGCGCAACATTGTGGTGATACAATTAACTAGACTAAGCCAAAACGCTTGCTATTACGTCTAATAAATAGGGCACAAGATTCGCAAAGTAGTTGAAATACAATGTTTGCAATGCTAACCCTAACCCTAACCCTGACGGATTCTAAAAACGCTTGTCTTTATTTATTACACACACATGCTGAAAACTATTAAAAGTTGATATTAACAGTCATACACCTTTAATGATAGAATCCTATTGAAATACGTTTCTCTAAACTATATAGACCTTTTCAGAAATACAACATAAAAAAAAAATTTTTTTACATTTTATACTATTAAATCTTCGCATATGATAACATTGTTTAGCTCATTCAGTTAGGCACTTGATATATTGCCGCGGCGATCGAAATTACAAAGATGTCGGACATCTGTCCGACATCTTTGTAATTTCTATTTTTAATGCTGACTCTAACATAATCTTTTCTCTTTCTTCCCTGAGGCTCCTACGGCCTATTGTGTTCCATTAAAGTAACTGGTTTTTGAGTCCAGTTATGACCTATAAGCACCCTAACCCTAACCCTAACATTACCTTATACCTAACACTAAACCTGACGGCTGACAGGTCCAGCTTGCATATCGAGTAAACAGACTTTGTCTGATTATCTCGGATAAAAACAATCCCTAACCCTACCCTAAACTTAACCCTAACCCTAACCCTGACAGAGTAATAATTCTTATGTAAAATTTTCATAACTTTTAAGATTTTTATGTTTTGTTTATTTTGAGACCCAACATTTGGGAAAACTTTTTTTTTCTTTTGTTTAAAGTCTTATTGCAAGTTACAGATTTGAGGTGGCCACCTAAACTTATTTAAATTAGAAAGCATTTAACAATGTCTTGTGAGAATCAATAGAAAGTTTTATAAATAGAACAGATCAATTTTTAAAAGTATGGTGTCGTTGGATGCACCTAAACTAAGGCATCTAGTGTTTTAAGTCTTGTTGTAAAGGTATACAACGATATTTTAATTTATAAAGATCAATAAAACACAATAAAAAAATTTTATACGTTTTTTTTTTCTTTTCTTTTTACCAACAAGGCTGCAAGAAACCACTATAAGAGTTGGAAGTTACTGGAAGAGAAAAGATCAGGGTTAGGGTTCGTAGAGCCAGGGTAGAGTCAGGGTTCGTAGAGCAAGTTAACGATTGACAGATGACTTAAAAGATTGCAAGTTATATGAATTAGGAAAGCAAGATGAAGGAAGCGAAATCCATAGTACTGATGAAAAAAACTAGACGAATAAGAGTTTTTGGAGCACTTAGGAACAGTCACAGAAAAAGAATGAGACTTAACTAAATGACGAGTGACACGAGAATGAATTTTAGTAGATGGAACAAGGGATGCTAGCTCTTTAGAGCAGTGCCCATTATAGTATTTGTAGAAAAAAGAAAGAGAAGTAACATCACGAAGATGTGACAATGGTTGGAGACAACTATGTTTACAATACGTTTTTGCACCTTGTCTAAAAGGGAAAGGGCATGATCATTAGAAGGTCCGACCTAGATATGGCAACAGTATTTCATACAGGGACGGGTTTGAGATATATAGAGATAGAGAATAGAAACTGGAGTAAGAAAGTGTCAAGCTCGATAAAGAGATGCAACCTTAGGGGTCGTCCATAAAGTACGTAGTCTTTTTTTTGCCAACTTCCCCCCCCCCTCCTCCCGCAATTTGCCGTATGCTTTTTTGAGTACTTTCTACCTACCTAAAAGTACCTACAATTTTCACCTACTAACCCAACATTTTATGACATTTTTTAAAATTTAGTTTCTCCATACTTTTATAATTGACTTACTGCCCCCTTATCTCAGAAACGCCATTTGCAGACCTCCTCTTCCTCTCCGAGCGTACATACTTTATGGACGTTAATTTTCGTTTGTATTAATTTATTATTAATATAAAAAAACCTAATTTATTAACAAAAAGTGGATACAACGAAAACATTTAGTTGCATTAAATCCCATTTTGCATTGCAAACAAATATGATCCTGAACCATGTTTTTTTTGCAAAAAAAATTAAGGTGGTAGACTGCTAAAAAAATTATTTTTGTATTTTACAATATTTCAATAATTTTTTTTACTTCAAACATGATAAATACATTAGAAAATTCATAATTTTTAATTTTTTTCCATATATATTTTGTGCAAAAACAGGTGATTTTAGGCCAAAAACAGGCTAAAATCTTGGCAAAGATATCTCAATAAGTATAATTTATTAAGTTTTAATTTTTTGTATTTTTATTTGTTTTATGTAGATAAATGTCCTGACATAATAATTTTTGTTGAAAATTTCTTTATTTTAAAGCATCGTTAGATTTTTCAAAGCGCCCAATTAATAATCGAATTTCTGATACTAAGAACAAAAAGTTTGTTGTTTTAAAAGTTTATATTCTAAATTTTTTTTATTTCAGGACATAAAGCTTATTATAATGAATCTCTGTACAAAATTTTAAGTCAATTGGACAATTACAGCTCCTGCAATCTTTGCCAGAAAATTAGAAGAATAAAACAGAGATAAAAGCATATAAAATTTAAAATATTGAATATACAAACTTATTAAAATCCCCCTTTTTATCTACTGCTCTACTTAATTTTTGTATTTTTTATCAAACCCTTTCCTAGTTGCTTTAAAATTTTTTCTTTGTTTTTTAATTTTTTCTTATTACTAACCTTAACTAGCGGTTGCTATGAGCGTTGCTAGGGGAAACCAAATTACCCTAATAATATAAATCACTTTCATTAGTTCTAAATTTTTTTTCTCATTCGAAGATCTGTATATTTTTAGACTCTACATCAGTTACTGTTTAAAACAATGCCACTTTTGAAAAATCAATTTTTTCTAATTTTTTAGCAGTCTACCACCTTAAGATTTCATGGTTGTTTTTATAAAGTTGAACAGTCTTGTACAGAATCTTAAAGTGTGAGTTAAACAGTACAGCTTTGTTTAGAACCTTATAGAGTGTCTAATAACTTAGCTGGGTTTTTTGCAGTCAGTCAACTTTTCAATCAAATATTGATTTACACTATAAGGAATAAATAAATATTAAAAATAAACTTCATGAGCAAACAAAGATTTAATTATTCAACTTTAAAAATTTAACCTTTACTTCTTATAACAAAACATGAAGAAATATAAACTATATCTATATATAAGTAAATCTATATAAAATATAAACAATATATCAATACCTATATATAAGTAAATCTATATTAAATATAAACAATATATCAATACCTATCTATAAGTAAATCTATATAAATTATAAACAATATATCAATACCTATATATAAGTAAATCTATATAAAATATAAACTATATATTTATATCTATATATAAGTGTATCTATATATAAGTACATTTATTGAATTTAAACAATTTTTAAATTTAATTATTTTTTTAGGGTTTTAACAAGACACATGAACAATCAAAAGATTACTTGTTTAATCAAAAAAAAAATTATAAAAGTATAACACGCTGAAACTCAAACAGTGTATATATATAAGTTTCTAAAACAATAATTGCTTTTTTCAAAATTATGAGTATGGCACATATTTGGAACACCTTTTTGTAATATTAGGTTCTTTTTTATTATTCAAAGGCCTGGAAAAATCCATTGTAATTTTTTATTTTGAAAAATATCAACTAAAGTAAATATAAAAAACATTTATGGCTCCTTTAAGAATTTGTAAAAAGTTTTTGAAAAAAAAATATATGTAACTTTATTTGAAATTAATATTCATGTGTTACAAAACAAAATATTGCACGTAATATATGCTCAATTTCTGATTTTTTAATTTCCTCAAATTGTTCTAACCCACTGTTTCTTCCTGGTTTTCTTTTTAAAATGTTTATGAAATGTTTCCCATAGTAATTAAGAACTGGTTTTGATTCAGAACTATTTCCTTGAGTCAAAGAGAAAAACAAGTTATGATGTCCAGTAGAGAGCATCCCCTTGACCATTTCCAGAGCATGGCTGGATCCACACAACATCGTGTCATGAGATCTTTTTCTAGACGAGACGATGTTCAATGTGTCAATCATTTGAGCTATTAAATGGCCAAGCGCGTTTGGTAACTCACAAACGTCAATATCAGTTTTAGCTTTAATTACTGTAGGTGCTGGAAGTATTTCGTCTTCATTTTGATTGGACAAATCTGAACTTTCAACAAGCTTATCAAGAACTAATGCGATAAACGCTTGTTTTTTTCCAATAACAAAATAATCAAAGGGACCATTTCCAACTCTTAAAGCTGACAGAAGAAGTATGTTTAAAATCAACCGTCTAGTTGACTCGCAATAGCAATTATCTGGTTCTAGTAACCTTCTTAAATATTTTAGGCTCGTCACTGTGACGTCAACTTTTTTTTCAAAATCATCGATTTCTTCACACGCTTCAATATTTTTGGTCAATTGGTCAGAGGTGCTTATACCATTCCAAATATTAAAATACCTTGTTTCTTTTTCATTAAGGCCTGAAGCCCAGGTAAAATTCAGTTCGACATCATCTATGGTAAAAAGAGAGTAACGTTTTGACTTTCTTAACAAAATACAAAAGCATTTGTATTCAAATATATTAGCTGTTTTTAACTCATGTAGTTGATTATTAATATCAACCAAATAAGGTTGAAAACTATCTTCATTAGCTTTAGATGATGTTGCATGTGACTTTATGCAATTATTAAGTTTTTCCAGGAATGACTTGTCGATACCCAAATGAGATTTAAAACAAAGTTCAGCAATAAATTTAGTAGGAAAATTGCTTTTGTTAGGCTCAGTAGAAACCAAAACATTAATATAAACTTGAATCATGATCTTGCAGTTTAAAGTTTGCCTTAGCATTTTGAAAATCAACATCATCAGTCATTGGGTACCATATATTTTTATCAAAATAGCAAAAAATAATCTTTTTTGAAAAATCAATTTTATAGACCTCTTGTGAAATATTCAGGAATACCAGCAATTTTTAAACAAACTCTTCAAATGTATTGCTGAATACTATCTCAATAAAAGTAGTAGGAGATAAACAAAGTGTACATTTATCCATAATAAGCAGGAGCTGTTTCTAATAAAGCAAAACTATATTGAAGAGTAAAGTGGAAATTAACTTGGAAAAATTTTTTTATTTAAAAATAACTTAGCACAGAACATATTTTTGAAATACCTATACCACATTACTATTTAAAAAAACAAACAAACAAAAAAACCTTATGGTCAAACCAAGATTGTATCACAAGAAATGATAACTTTAAAACGATTTTGAAATTTGAAAAATTTTGTAAATAGTAACCCTAAAAAAAGTTAAGAAAAAAGTGTTTGAAATTTCCAGACCTCAAACACTTCTAGATCGGCAGTTAGATAGGCATTGCTAAATGTCGACCCTAAGTCCGAGTGCTGTATATAGTATATAATATAAAATTATATATACATATATATATATATATATATATATATATATATATATATATATAATATATATATATATATATATATATATACATATATATATATATATATTATATATATATATATATATATATATATATATATATATATATGTATATATATATATATATATATACATATATATATATATATATATATATATATATATATATATATATACATATATATATATATATATTATATATATATAATAATAATAATTTCTGTATTATTATTATATATATATATAATAATAATAATACAAAACATGACACAATCAACATATAAAAACAAAATAATTATATTGTCATTATTTTTGTTTGTTTTCCATGATATTAAAACAGTTACAAGACATGACACAAATAACTAAAATATAAAAAACAATTATTTTTTCATCATTTTAACTTGTTTTCACAATATTAGGCTCTAAAATAGTTTAGTTAATAAGATTATTTTTATTGTATAACCTTTTTTTTAACTAACTGAGCACATTTAGTATCTCAATCATGACACATACCCAACAAATTTCTCTAAGTGTTTTTATAATTTTAAAAAATTATTTTGTTCCTTATAAAACTATACAAAAAAATATCTACGAAACCTAGGATGTGTTTTGTTTCATATTTAATAAAGATAAAAAAGTGTAATGAAAAGAAATATAAGTTAACTTCAGTGGTAGGATAAAAACCACTGCATTTTTGTATAGAAGCCTGCAACCACTCAGCCATGCATGCTTATGGTCAAACTCAGATTAAATCACAAGAAACAACGACAAGTTTATGAAAAACTAAATAAACAGTAAATGCAACACCTATAAAAAAAATGTTTAAATTAATGCATTTCATTTTATTAAAGTTAATACTTGGGTTGTTAAGAAAGTTCGTAAAATACCGCTATAAAAAAATTAAATGTTTAAAATAATGCCCATCACTACCTATACAAAGTTGCATCTTTTGAATCTATATGAAAAAAAATGTCAAAAGTAAAAAGAGAATAACCTTTCGACTTAAAACAGCATCATTTAACAGAATTAGCTGTCTTAAATAAATGTATGTAATTCTATGTAACATTTTGTTTTGTTTTTGATTGCTTATGCCTAAATTATGTGAAAAAATTACTTCATTAAGCACAAACCTTCTAAACACAACAAAAAAAACCTGATTATTATATGAAAAAGAATGATTTTTTTTTCATTTTTCTCTATTGTGATCAGGCAATAACAAAACCTATAAAAAAAAGTTATAAACCACTTAACAAAGTTCAAAAATATTTAGATTTTCTAGATTTATGTTTGTACAATGACACACTCTCTCGATGTCTCGACCCCAATTGGAGCGCCCAAAACAGTTACGTTAAACAGCCTTTCATAACAATGTTTAATCAAGTTTAAAACAACTTAATTAAAACATGTGCCTTGCATCTCAGAGTAAGTGTCTATGTTTTTCTTAGATTTGTCGAGATGCGAGTCAAGGATATGGATTTTCAGTAATAACGTTTTTTTTTCTTTATGAGAAAAATGTACCAACGCAACATTCTTTTCAGCTTTGTGATTACCCAGCATGTCCTATACAGCATCAGAAAATCCTCACATATTATGACCTTCAAAACCACTGTTCAAAAGAATATACTAACTCTAACCATAGCCTAAGACAGCTTTTCCTAAAAGATTTTATAGAAATTAAAATGCTTCTAACTAAAAATGACTTCATTAAGCTAAAACCTTAAAAACACAACAACAGCGTAAAGAAAACTTGGTTTAAATAATAAATTGCCTTAAATTTTTAAATAATATAATGATTTGTTTTTACTTTTCTTTATTATGATCAAAACAAAAACTGCACAAGGAATAGACAAACTCAGTTGAAAACTACTTAACAAGATTCAGACTTTCTAGATTTATGTTATACAGAGAACCACTTTCTCAGTGTAGACCCCATATTATGTCCCCCAACACGTTTACAACGTTTCAAGTCCAAAAAATCTTGGTGAAAACAGGCACCATGCTTCTCAGAGTAAACGTCCATGTTTATCTATAGTGTGTCTAGATGCCAATTAAGGATATGGACTATCAAAGAAATTTTGCACTTCGATTTTGCTTAAAATTTTGAAAACAATATTATCAAAAATTAAATGCAATTATCTTTATCAAAAAAGCAAACAATAGTCACTTATAAAAAATCAGTTTGTAAGCTCTCTAAGAAAATTATTAGATACTGCAGCATTTTTAAAACAAACATTTTCAAGTGCATTACTAAATACAGTAACAATACAACTGAAGCTGACAAATAAAAGTGTACATGTATCAATACGCAATATTTATAAAATAATACCTATTTTTAGTAAATAAAAGTTACATGTATCATGTTACATGTATCAAAGTTACATGTATCATGTAAGTTACATGTTTAATAAAAGTGTACATGTATCAATACGCAAATTTTATAAAATAATACCTATTTTTAGTTAACTAGATAATAATTAAATTTAAACTATTAAAAAATAAACAAACCTTAAGGGCAAAGTCAGGTTGAATCAAAAAAGTTTTTTTGCGCTTAAGTCTCCGAGCCGGAAAGACGTGTTTCTTCGAGCGTAAGTTTTTCAGAAGTTTTAAATTTTATTTTCGTATTCTTATTCCTTTCCTCTTATTCTTTTTTCCAACATTATTTTTTCCTATATTATTGCTTCACCATATTACTAATTATTGCTACTTTCAAATTATAGTATATTATCTATATTCGTGTTTTAGAATTATAATTTTGTCGGACTTCGCACACCTATATTAATATATACCTATACTTATATTTATTACATATATTCTTATATATATTTTATTATATCATACTTATTTATATATTATTATTATAATAATAGTCATATATTAGATTTTAACTACGCTTTAGTTCGCTTATATTTTTACAGAGTTTACAATTTTATTTTATATTTGTTTTTTCTTGTTTTAAGAGTTTTGGAAACCTTTCCGTAGTTTTAAACGCTAATCGTTTTCAAACGTGCTATATATTTCTAATCTATTGTTTCTTTCCTAAAGTTTTGAGTACAATTTTTCCAACTTGCCTGAAAAAAAAGCTTACGCCGAGTTTTAAAGCTTATCTGCTTTGAAACTCGATTCTCTTGAACACCGCAGAGTCGAATTCGATCTTTTTATGACTTACAAAATTATAAACAATCTTGTCTACCTTCCTTTTTCCGATTTCTTTACATTTTCCATTTCTCATTACCCCACTAGAAGTCATGCGAAAAAAATAGTTTCACGCAATAAATGTACTAACGATACACGTAGATTTTTTTTCAGTGAAAGAATTGTAAAAATTCATTGCCTGCTTACATTGTTGATTCACCTTCATTGTTCATATTCAAAAATAAACTACAAACTTACGACTTACAACAAAGTTGCGTATTGTATTAAATTGCCTTTGTTCAGGTGTTTCATAAGCGTAATCTCGTGATTACCTTTTTCACCCGTTTGTATTTTAATGTATTTTTTTTAATGAAAATAAATATAATCTCTATAATTAATAGCCGAATGAATATTATTATTATTAGTGCGCATAGTTACGCGTTTTGTTTTATAGTTACGGTACGGTTCTGTATCTGTGTAATACACTTTTTAAGTAGTTTCTAGACTTTTCTTTACCGCGTGCTTTCTTAAAGATTTCCTTTCAACGCTTCATGGAACACGTTCAAAATGTCCAAGTTGACATTAAGTAGATAATGTTTAGTAGCTTAAAATTATAGGTAATCTAAAATCTTTTTTAAATTTAAAAGTAATTAAATTATTGTAATCTTTTTTAAATTGTAATTTTAAATTTAAAGCTTCGTGTTATAGATTACTTTAATTCTTAGATTGTGTCTAGCGTTAAAATATGTTTATGGGTAGTTTCATGCTTTCACATAGTTTTGGTTATTAGGATAAATGCCATACAACATTTTGTTATAAATTTATCTTAATTTAATTTTTATTGAAAATTTGTTATAAATAAAATTTATCTTTAATATTGTTAATACTTTTGCTCTTTGAAAAAAATATGTTTCGGGCTCTTCAATAAATATAAAATAATTTGTCTTGCATGAATGAACTTTGGCTTAGGATTTAATTGTGTTACTTATGTTTGTCTATCTGTAATATATTTAGGTTATTAGAAAATTCATGTTTACAGAGTTGTTATTAATCATAATTGAGTTGTTAAAACAAGGAAATGGTGGAGATTTATTTATCATATATACTATATATATTATATAATTATATTGGGGGGAGTAAGTTTAAATTTTTAAAAAGAAATAAAAATACTTTTCAATACATATATCTGTTTTCTTTAAGGTAGAATTAAAATTTCAGTTTTTTAAAATTTAAATTTAAAGTTTCAAGTTTTCAAAATCGTAATCTTTTCAAAGTGTCTAAGTAAACATTGAGTATTTATAAAATCTTTTTAAAATTTTATAAGTAATTAGTTTATTGTAATCTTTTTTAAATTGTACTTTTAAATTTAAAGCTTCGTGTTATACATGTAAATATTAAAAATATAGATTACTATAACTCTTAGATGATGTCTACCATTAAAAGATAGTTATGGGTAGTTTCATGCTTTCAAATGCTTTTAATATTTGGGATAAAAGCCCAAAAGAAGCAAGTTAAAATGCATTTTTAAATTTTTAAAAAGAAATAAAAATACTTTTCAATATATATCTGTTTTCTTTGAGGTAGATTTAAAGTTTCAGGTTTTTAAAATCATATATATTATAAGATTTAAGAATAGTCGACTTGAATGTTTGTTTGTTTTTCTATTTCGACGTTGCTAATAATATTGAAACAAGTAAGTTATA